TCTCCAAATAATCACTACAAGTCTTTGGGCTATATATCTCAAAACGGCAATGTTGATCTGGTTGGTTGAGATCTATGTTAAACATGTAAAGTATATTTGAACAGAAAAATAGAGTAAATATTAAGTATACCATAGTCATGTGTGTTGACATCTTCATAGTTTTAGTATATTGTTTGTTGGACGTTGGAGGAGAAATCATTTCTGGCAGAGACACCAAAAAAGTAATACTTAAAAGGAAAAAAAAAAAGTCAAAATGTTGTTTAAGCCATTGTTTAGTTTATTAATAATCGGTTCCTTGATGTTTGCAGGTCGTGACATTGGGGTCAATCTACCAATTTTATTGAATTCAATTGTCGCAGAACTCCCTCCTGGTGCAAGGACAATGTTACGGATAGGGATGACGAATCCTCCATTCATTCTGGAGCACTTGAAGGAAATAGCAGAGGTTTTGCGTCATCCATGTGTATACTCATTTCTACATGTACCAGTCCAGTCTGGAAGTGATACAGTCTTGACTGTAAGTCCAAATTTTTTTTCTTCTCTCTTTCTTTGTAGATTGGTCCATTTTCTTATAGCTGAGTTTGATGTATCCTTTACTTTATCTTCCTTCGGATTTAACATTCAACAAATGTACAAACCTAGACTTCCGATTACATTATGGTTGCTTTATTCAAATAACTATGCTTATTCATTCAGGCAATGAATCGGGAATATACTGTAAGTGAGTTCAAGACTGTGGTTGATACCCTAACTGAGCTTGTGCCAGGGATGCAGATTGCGACTGATATAATATGTGGATTTCCTGGTCAGTGAGTATCATGGCTCCTGTTTGTTTTTGTTTTTCACAAAGATCAAATTTTTTATGGCCACATTCTTTGTTGATCATTTATTGATGTAACATATCTCTAAATTTCAATTTAAGATTGTGACTCGGTGGCACTCCAAAAGCAAATTCAAAAAGCAAGATAAGGGACTAAGATTAAGTTGGAAATGTTGAGGGATAAACTTAGCATGAAAGGGATATAAATGATTTCTGGTGGTAAACTTAGCAATTGTTTGCTTCCCAATGCTTCCCCTACTTGGTTAATTTGGAGGAATTGCTCCTCCTGTTCTTCCTTATTTCTTGCCTTTATTAAAGGAAATTAAGGTGGTTTAACATTATAGATAATAACGGCAGGTTTGTAAAGTTTTTAAAAACATGTTTGATAATATTTGGTTGCTAATCACCTAATCAGCGAGTAACCAGTATACTCTCAGCTGCTAAATTTAGCTCACCAAGAACAGCGTTAACAATAACATTTTGAAGTATCTCTATATTTAGAGATATGGTGGGTAATTTGGGGGATTTGATTACTTTATTCTCTGCATTGAGCAGTCCAGAGAACATTGCAGGAGGAGTTTACACTTATTTCCTGGCTTCTCAGGTGAAACGGATGAAGATTTTACTCAAACTCTTAGCCTTATTAAAGAGTACAAGTTCTCTCAAGTTCATATTTCGCAGTTTTATCCTAGACCAGGTATGATAATTTCTGGTCAAGTTACTTTGGGATGCCGTAAAGGGCATCATATGCATATACACAATGGTTAAAGCATGGCATCAACATTTTTCATTGTCCATATATGAGAAGTTGATATAATATGAATTTACGATAAAGTTTATTGTCTTTAGACCATGTGACATTATGCATCCCCTGCTCAGTTTGATAAGCAAGAAAAATTATACATGGATTTGATTTGAAGAATATTTTATAAAATTACAGACGGATGAGTATAATGTGATACTACTAAATTCTTGGCTACTACCGTTGTAGAAATTAGTTTCTTCAAAATTTGGAGTGCTTTATCACTTTGGGCAAATAGTCACTAATGTTGGACAAACTGGACAAAAATTGCTCTGTGCCCAAATGTATGCAGGACTAGATATAGAGAAGATAGGAATAAAAAAAGGTCGTACCCAGTGCACAAGGCTCCCGCTTTACGCAGGGTCTGGGAGAGGTGAATGTCGGCTAGCCTTACCCCCATTTATGGAGAGGCTGCTCCTAAGTCTCGAACCCAAGACCTACCGCTCATAGAGAAGATAGGAATAAAGAAAAAAAAAACAATGGGAAGAAAGGAGAAGATAGGGGGCAGAGAACAATGGGGGAAAAAGGAGGAGAGCGGGCAGAGAGCTAGAAGAGATGAGATAGAGAAACAGAGGGAGGGAAAATTTGGGTAAACTCAGTCTTTATTGCCAATCAATATGCCATCGCTAAAACCTAAGACATCCTAATATACAGATAATCCTTCCTGTATAATAAGATAGCTACAAATTTTTAATAGAAACATATTATTAGTTGGGTTGTCAAGGGATTGTTTCTCCTTTCTCTGTGAAAGTCGCAAATTGTTTTGGAAGGGCAAGAAGTCCAAAGTTATATGGCGATGGTGGTGTTATGGTGGAAAGTTTGGTTTTAGTCGGCTCTTTGGGCATCTGTCTCCATTGAGTTCAGAGCTTCTTCTTGCTCAAAATGTGGTGAGATTGGTAGGCAGCTTCATGTTAATTTGCTTGTGGGAGGGATTTAATCTATGTTCTCCCTAGTTTGTTTATCTTTATGTTGTCCCCGTTGGTGCTGGCTGGTGTTGTGTGGTCTTCTTGACCACCAGCTTTCCCTTCTGGTTGTTCATTTTCTAATATAATTGTCTCTTTATACGTATTAAAAATAAATACAGATTTTCCTATAAATTTGTTTTAACCACTTGATGGCGTTGTTAAATTTCCATAACATTTACATACCAAAACTGGTGTACTTTGGTTTTGGAACAAAAATCTTTCTAACAGAAAGTGAGGATGATAACTTAGGTGGTGCACTATAGTACAGAAATCAGTTAGTTAATACATAGATTTGTAATTAGCTTTTGTGCTTTATCTTGTTTGTAAATTTAGGAACACCTGCTGCAAGGATGAAAAAGGTCCCTAGTACTGTAGTGAAGAAAAGGAGTCGTGAATTGACTTCTGCTTTTGAAGCTTTCGCACCATATGTTGGGATGGAGGGCAGGGTGGAAAGAATATGGATAACTGATATTGCGACTGATGGAACTCACTTGGTAAGTTTATGTGCTCTTTGTTTGTAACTTTGTAGTTTGTACAAGTTATCTCTTCCTAGGGTATTATATATATCATGTTAGTTAATGTTGTGCTGGGGATAAACGGCTGGCTTCTTTTGTATTGTCTATGGAATAAAACATGATATTCAAGCAGGTATCTGGAGTCATTCTACGCTTTGCTTTGAATTAGTCTCACTTTGCCCCCTGAAATTCAAAATATGTCACTTAACTCCCCAAATGTCAACTTCCCGTGTCACTTTGCCCCATTCCATCAACTCTCTCATATATTCTTTAGATTATGTAGCAATAATATGGCGATCACATCAGCATTAAGTGGACCCCACACATTTCACATCAGAGGACTTAACGGATTTCTTGTTGGGTTGACGAAGAAATGGGGGCAAAGTGAGACATGGAGTTGACGTTTTGGGGGATAAGACACATTTTGAGTTTCAGGGGGCAAAATGACACATACATAGTGCTTGTGTTTAAGGGTGTTTAGCAATAATTAAGCCTTTAATGATAAACTCCAGTTATTACTTAATTGCATGCATGATTGAACAAACTTAAAATCCAGTTTAATGTTTAATAATAAGTGTATTGATCTCTGGACCTACATTTCATTACAATTGAGTTGAACAAACATTTTTTTGTTTATATTTTCTTGACGTGCAAGGATGACTTACAGTTTGCAGTTTGTCTCTCGATGATGTAACTCATAATGTTATGTGTTGACATAGTGTTTATTATTTCAATTTTGTTGGCAATTATCTTTTGGTCTATAACACCATGATGGCCATTGTTGGCCAAAGAGTTTTCGGATTTAGGACAATTATTCAATCGAGGATGGAACTGAAGTGATGTTTACAATTTATGTTCTTTATTTGCCCTAGGTTGGCCATACAAAGGGATACGTGCAGGTTCTTGTAGCCGCTCCAGAAAGTATGTTGGGGACTTCAGCAATTGTGAAGATAACATCGGTGGGAAGGTGGTCAGTTTTTGGAGAAGTGATTGAGACCATCCCTCACATAAATGATAAACCCACCTCAACAAATGAAAACCGTTATCAGGAGAAATGCTTCCCTGGTGCCAACAGTTGCGAGACTTGCGCGTGTTCAACTTCACCAGAAACTCGTGCCTGTGGACCAGAAAGCTGTGGAGGACAGGCTACCTCGGAAGAATGTGCTGTAACAAAGAATGCCGTTCTGCTGGAATGCTGGAACAGTAGAAATCCGATTGGATGGTTGCTGAGGAAGCGAAAAAACCATGTTGAGAAACAGGTGGAGGAGGAAATTGGCTTGCGATCCCAGAACAAGCAAGAGCAAGGCCAAGGACGTTTGAGTGATTGGGGTTTCGTCGATAGGGCTCTTCTAGGCGGGATGCTCGTGAGCTTCGTGACAATTGTAGCGCTACTAGTACATCTTGGCTTCAGGATTATGTCGTCTAATTAGAGAAATTTAGTTGTACTAATCCATTTTTTGGCGAGATTTTCATGGAAAAAATGCCATATGAGCTTGCCTGTATCTTCAAGGATAGATTATTTTTGGAATGATTTTAATGTTGGATATAGAGTGTTGTTGGATGGAAGAAGTTAAAACATAACGGCTATAAGTCATCATGCTTTTCTCTCAAGTGCTTTTCTTCGCTTGTAATTAAATCTGGAGCTACTTTTTATTGACTCGAATTGGCTTTACTTTATAGTATGGAAACAGCAGTCTGGAAGGTCTAAACAACCTGTTTGAATATGCTTTTGAAACAATTAAAAGCGTTTTCAGATTTTTCCAAAAGGGTTTTTAGATCACCAAAGTGCTTCTGATCATGTTTGCCAGATATGAAGTGCTTTTGAGTTCAAAAGAGCAATTGAAGTGCTTTCTGAAAGAAACACCTGTTGTGCGCTTCTTTCGTGAAATACTTTCAAGTGCTTTTTCAAAAAATACTTGCATATTTATTAAAATTTCAATGTACGTATTCAACAATTGATCAAGAAAAAAGCACGTTATGGCATCGTCTCTCCAGCTATTATTTGATTGGTTTATTTACTAAACAACCTTTTCTTCACGAGAATTAGGCGAATATACAAATAATCAAGATAGTAGCATATCTGACTTGGATGGCAATCTCTTGAAGAAATTAACTGGTGCAGAATGCATCTTGCTCCTGAACCGTGGATGCCGAAGAAGGTAGATACCGAACAGCACTGCTATAAGCCGGAACGGAGTAACGTATATCAACATGGCCCAGATCAACGCGAAGATGATGAAGATTGCCGTTGCTCTCGGATCCCTCCAGCTGAGTAATGCTTGTGCTCTTTCCCCTTGGGTTGCCAAATCTCCAACCACCATCTGCACCCTGCCCGCCACGCTACGCAACCTGTCGTACCTCATCCTCACAATGTCCGCGGGCCGACCCGTGGGGAAGCTGTCAAATTCCTCGTCCAACTCATCCGCGTGGGCAACCTCTGCCTGCGAAAGCCGAGCATCCATGTGAAGTGGGTGCCTTGGCCTGAGCCGGTAGTTCCATATACCAATCACAAAGAGGTAGAGGAAAATTGTGGGCAATATTAGTTCTGGGTAGCAAACTAATATCACAAACAAGATATGGACGAGGCACGTTGTGATCGGGTTTCTCCAGTTGCAAATGTCATTAAACCATCTGCAGACAGTCATGACCCCGCTGAGAACCGACATGATGCGGTGGAAGTTGGCTTTGCTTCTCCTCATACTAAACATATGGTAGTCTATGTCTAACATGTACTCGACAATCTCCCGCCTGAGCGGTGGCTCTGAACGGGCGAGCCTCGTTGCTACAATCTGCATTGCTTGGTGGCGGAGCCAATCAAGGTGCCTAATAGGTATAGGCTGGACATAATGCATCTTTGGAAGCAATGGTCTTCCATATTGAGCTAACATGTTAACCCAAGCAAAGCAAGTGAACCTCAATGCTAACTGAAGTTCCCCTTGCTTTTTTAAACCCGAGGGTGTGAGGATCAGCAGGGGATAGAAATGCGTATAAACTCGATGAATTTCTAAAGTCGATAATCGAATTCTCACCTTCCCAATCCTTTTATCTCTCGAGTCTTCCCTGCTTCCGTTGGTATGGCAATTGTCGAAAACACCGATGGTGATTACAGTACATGGATCATAAACTTCCCAAGTATACTGCTCATTCCAGCGAGGAGACAGAGTGTCGAGAAGCGTTCTGGTTCGCACCCACTTGTTTCCATACTTGGCCACGCAGTATGCATCAGTAGTCCTACCCTCATTTCCCTTCAAAGCTGGAAATTTTCTGGCACTCAGGATCCCAAGCTCAAGAATTCCAATGCCTGATTTCCTCAGGTGCCTGGACGACGGCTGAAAATCGCTGCTAAAGTGTGTGGACTCATCAAGAACATGATAACCCACGTCTAAACAGAGGCGCAGATGAATCTTACTTGAGAACTTCTCCTTCTGTCTTTTAGTTTCCTCTTCAGCAGCTGCTGAAGGCTTGTGGAGATTGAACCATATCGGCTCCGGGAGCTTATGAGTGTCAATTCTCTGCGGAAGGTCTTTAACCGAAAGAATCACCCTCCCTAATATCTCATCCTTTCCAGGACCAACCCTGTCCTCAACTGATATAACTAAGATATCTTCGAAAGGCTCGGAGGCCACGAGCATGAGGTCATCATTCCAAACGGGGTTAATAGTATGCACTTGGGAAGGCCTTGAGACCCTCAGCTGGTTCCCAAGCTGTACCTTGACATATGTATCCAAAGGGCGGTTTCTATCCCAAGGAACAAGATCCTGAGCTTGCAGAATTTGAACTCGAAGGTAATATAACTTGGGGGAGAAGTAAACCTTTGATCGAGTGGTGGCGAGATTGACGTGGCTAATGTCATGTGCATCGGAATGCCAAGCATCGGGAAAGGACTCATCGGCCTGAGTCCCTACCCAAACAGCAAGCATAAGCTCCCCTCTGACCTTGTTCCCGTGCATGTCCAGCAACCCGTACCACTGAGGAGCCAAAGGGCTGTCAGGCGGCATGCAAAGGGGGACTTCGCTGAGATCGAAATGTAGCCTCCCCACGATATCATCCTTGGTGAAATCCTTGTCCTTGACAGTGACTTCAAGCAAATTGGATTGCACGCGCTCTTTCGAGAAGGCGAAAATCTGGTGCCACACAGGGTTCTGGTCCTTGTCCACATGCTTGGTCACCCCTTTGTAGTTGCCAAGCTTCACCTCCACATAAGGATCAAGGCTTCCTGTAACATCCATGGTTGGAAGATCTCTTGCCTTCACCACACTCACGTACAAGTAATGCATCTGCTCAACCAGATCGTATGTGCTCGAGGTCTTGTCCCCTCCAAAACCTCTGTACCGCCGCGCCGCCAATGGTGGATCTGTCTCCACCAGGGAAAATTCCGGGTTCTGCTGCTGCATGTGCATAACCGTGGCAGGACCCGCCCGAGCGAAATCCGTCCTTGTTTCAACGGTGGGCGCCTTCTCCTTCATTGTCTCAAATCCGAATCCCGAAGACATTGGAGGAGGAGGATGAGAACCACCGCCGCCGCCACCACCACCACCCATCCCAGTGCCGATGGAGTGGAAAGTTCTCACTTCTTTTTCCTTCTTCTTCTTGATCTTCTCTCCCCCAAAATGGTGGTGATGAATCTCCTCAACGATCCTATTAGTATTGATTTCCTGCAGCGGAGGAGGACGAGTAGTCCCAGCAGCACCACCAGTACTATTAGTAACAAATTCATCATTTAGTGTAGGTGGGGGTGGTGCTGGTGTTGGAGCAAAGTCGCCATTGTTGATGTAATCTTGAATAGCGTAGATTCTGAGGGCAATATCGCCTTTGACATGAGAGAAGACACCGCGCTTATCGAGCGGGTACCGTTGGATGGTGGCCTGAGACTCGGAGAAAGGGACGGAGACGCCGGAGATTCTGACTCGGCCGAGGAAGTTCGTATGGTGTCCAGTTTGTCTGTCATTGTAAACGACAATGTCGACGGTCTTGTGGGGGAGGTGAGAACGGTCGTTGATGTTGAAGACGAGCTTCTCGTTCCAGTTAGGATTGAGATCTTTTGGCTTGGTCTGAGTCCGCTGCCGCTCCCCTTCAAAGTTTACCTCCACGAAGGGACTCGCAAAACCGTCGCCGTCTTTCGGCATCAGGTCGCTTGCGTCGTGAACTTCCACCACAAGTTTAGTATTGGCCATGGCTAGCTCGGCGGAGTTGAGAGAGCTCAGAGCTCAGAGAATATTGTCTGGTGAAATGGAAGGATCGCTAGAAGGAGTGGGAGTGAAGAAGAAAAAGACAGAAGTGGTGGGGCAGAGGATGGTCTAAAATATCAATAATATCTTGATATTTTTATTGAAATTTCCGTGTTTTTGGACTACCGATATTTCCGATATCATCGATATTTTAGACCTTACTAAGTCACTCATGTATCTTGCATGTATAAAGTGTAAAATATTGTACTAATTCATTATATATAAATGATTATATTGTGTTTAAATTTCTTTTATTAATTACTACATATTTTCTACACTCACAATGTTTGCCAGCTCGCTATATAATTAACTTAAATCAGTTATATCTATCATGCAATGCATTTACTTCTAATTTTTTGTGATAAATTAATAAATAATTGACTAAATAAACATCATGCAAAGTTTCAATAAAAATTTCCAAGTTTTCTTATAATTTTCGTGGTTTTTATTCAATTTCTATCGATATCGATAATATCTCGATATTTTCATCAAAATTTTCGTATTTTTGAACTATCGATATTTCCGATATCATCGATATTTTATACCGTAGGGTGGTGGAGATGAGGTAAGAGACAAACGTTAGAAATAATGACAAGTCGATTGTCTTGGGTCGTCAAAACTTTACTCTGCAATTCCGTACATGTAGAGTTTAATATTTTTTTCGTGTTAATACGTGTATAATATCATTTGTACTAAAATAAAAATTTCTTCAACCGACAACGTAAAAGAATGTAAATGCGTTTTTTAGTGTATAATATAATTTTCCCTAAAAATGTTTTTTTGCAACTCACTGCGTTTAAAGTGTTAATTTGTGTGTAATATCGTTTATATTAAACAATTATTAAAAAGAGAAGCTTGGTGACTCTTTTAAAAGTGAACCTTTCATATTATATTTTTTACATAATATTTTATTAAAAAAAATAACGTTAAATTGTAAAGTGACATAGTGTAGTTTGAGTTGAGTCGTTTGTGGGGAGGTGTGTATGGGATCCTTTGGATCACATGCATATTTGATAGGGAAATATTCTGGTGGTGGTGACCGGTGGGTACGTTTGTGATTTTAGGAAATTAGGAGAGAGATTGTATATTCATGCAAAGAAAGTAGTCTTTACTTGTCATAACTCTCTTTTTTTTTTTTGGTAAAACATAACTCCCTTGTTTGGCAAATGTTGTCGACATGAAGTTGTCGACATGAATCTTGACCATATATTTTGATAACAATATCAACTTGATCCATAATTCTAATTCAAAGTCTCACAATATTCTTTACTTGTCATAACTCTCTTGTTTGGCAAAAGTTGTCGACATGAATCTTGACCAGACATTTTGATAGCAATATCAACTTGATCCATAATTTCTAATTCAAAGTCTCACAATAGTCAATATAAATCATATTTTCTTTATGAATAATTTTAGCATGTATCCAGAATATTAGTCGGTAGATTATGTATTATAATATAAGTGAGAGTATATATATTGTTCAATGTCTATCCAATTATATCATAACACGTAATGTATCAACTCGTGTTTTAAATACATTGAAATATCTCACCTTGTTTTTAAACCATATGTAGGAATAGAATATTTAAATTGATTTGAATTACTAGTCCAACGAAATTAGTATTTTATGTAGAAAGGAAGCATGGCTAGAATATATTTACATATTTAGGTATATAATATAACTCAAACGTTATTTTCATCACCATGTGACTAAAAAGTAAAATGTACGGGTCCGTCAGCTTTAGAATTGATATCAAGAGTGAAGAATAAGTAGAAGTGTTCAATGTTTTAATTTCAACTCTTGATATCAAACTTAACAAAGAGTGATCATAAAAAATTGATCACCAAGTGGATAAGGGAATGAGACCCATATAGAATTTGCAAAATAAATAAATTTACTTTTAATATTGATATCAAATTCAACGGCGTCTAATTATAAATCATTGATCACGAAGTGATCATGAGAAACGAGACTTGTATGTAGCTAAAATCCATTTCCTTGTTCATGTGTGTATAACATATTTAGTGATGGATATTTTGGCACTTGTCATGGATATATGAAATGGGCGTATTCCACTACTCATATAGGCTCCATGTGGATATAGATCCCGCCGCTACTTTTGAGTGAGAGATGGACTTCAAGCAATGGTGGGGTTTGATGGAGACAACGCGTAGGAGGTGGATGGAGGGGAAGAAATGCAAAAGGTTTTTTTAGTTAAAATGATCTTTTAAATTGTCACAGTTTTTTATTTTTGTTTTTAAGATTTAAAACCAATAGGGCTAGTTCTTAAAATTATCCACCGTCAATTATTTTGAGTTTTCTGTGAAAAATTTCCGTTATTAAAGAAACCATAAGTTCAAGTGAAGGAGTTCGTTTGACAAAAATACCCTTAATTTATGAAAGAGTTTTTATATAATAACTAAAATAATTGATTATAGGCAATATTAGTTCTGTCGATTTTAAATCTTAAACTCTATAGTCAAAAGTGATGATAATCTAAATAATCTTTTGACTAAAAAGCGAATGCAAAAATAGTTGTTAGTGAAAGCGATGGAAACATGTACACTTCTGCCAAAAGCAATGTTCCCTTTTTACTTACTGGGATCTCTCCGTATCAAGGAATTAAGCAGATCCATTATTTTTTTATTAATTTCTTCTACCTGTGATTGTTGCCAAGTCTTGTGGCGTCAGAGGCCAGCAGCATCATAACTTCCCCTTTGCTTAGAAAAATGAAAAAACTAATGAAAAGAGCTTGAAAACTTTGAGTTTTAATGATAAGGATAAAATAAAGGGTAAAGTAAATAGTACCAGAATTAACTTTTTAGTGTAAAAATGTGATTTTTCGTTAAAGTAAACAGTACCGGATGTTTTTCGTTAAAGTTTCCTAGAAAAAGTAGAATTTATACTATAGGAAAGAAACCATGCTACAAAAAAACATGGTTTCGAGGACAATCCAAATTACAAAAACCTCAATGCTAAGTTTATCTTGCTTTAGAAGGATGTATGTCACTTAGGAATAGACAATGGTTATAACGGACCGATAACCGTAGTTATTTACGCAGAACCGTTTATGTTCATGCCTTTATAACCATTTACTCGTTGTGTAATGGTCTAAATAGTTATATCTATTCCCACAATCATTTAATTGTAATCTTTTACCCGCTTACCTTTTTTTTAACCTGTTTACCCCTTTTCTTTTCTTTGTTTTTTTTACCTATTTACCTTTTTTTTCCACCCATTTACATGTTTTTTTAACATCTTGAAAATTAAAAAAGAAAAATTTGTCGTACTTTTTTTTCTTCGATAATTAAACACTGTTATAGATATATTTAGCATGCATTTTTGTACTTTAATCTTTTAAATCCTCATACAATTCTAATAATTGAGTTTTTTTTAACTGTTACCAATAAAGATAATATAATATATTTGCTAAGAATTGATTTGCTACTAACAAAATAGCTCTCACTTGAGCAAGCATATTGGAAAGAAAATTCATGTATTTTTAACATATTTTTCTGCTATAACAAAGCTGCTCTTCGATTATAAGATCATATAATTGTGAGTTTATATCAAGAACTGATTGATAACAGTTAAAAATATCAACAACTGATTGTTAGATAACTAATTAAAGATGTTTTTTTTAATCTAAATTTATTGTTAAAGAACTCATTAAAGATATTGTTAGAGAACTAACAGTTAAAAATATCAAGAACTGATTGTAAGCGAATCTTCCTACATTTACGAACGATATATAAATGGGTAAATAATTACTACGGTTATATTTAATCGTCAGGGTAAATCGTCAAAATGATTCCTGAGATTTGCATAACTCATCACTTTGGTCCCTAAGATTCCAAATTGATAAAAGTGGTCCTTGGGATTATCCACCATCTATCAGTTTGGTCATTCCGTTAAAAACTTCGTTAAATGTCCCGGAACTCTTGGCTGGAAGTTTGGACAATTTTCAAAACTTCGTAACTAAATCGTTTCTTAACTAAATTCGACCTATAATATATCAAAATGAAGATAGGAAAGTGTAGAATAAGATTATACCTATTTCAAAGGCCAATGGTTGCCGGAGATGGTCGGAAAATAGCCTCAAAGTTGACTGGTCCGAGTGAAAACTTGAAAACTGGCCGGAAACTGGTTAAACTTTAAATGTTCATAACTTCTTCAATACTCAACGAAATCAAGTGATTCAAAAACGAAAATCATACTTCTCGATGAGACAAAGAGAATAATACCTTTTTCAACCATTGGGCTTTGAAATAGGTATAATATTATTCTACACTTTCCTAGCTATCTTCATTTTGATATATTATAGGTCTAATTTGGTTAAGAAATGATTGAGTTATGAAGCTTTGAAAATTGCCCAAACTTCCGACTCGGGAACACTTAACAAAGTTTTTAACGAAAGAACCAAAATGATGGATGGTGAACAATCTTAGGGACCACTTTTATCTATTTGGAATCTCAGGGACCAAAGTGATGAGTTATGCAAATCTCAGGGACCATTTTGGTGATTTACCCTTAATTGTTATAACCGTGGACAATATCTATAACTAGTCATTTAAATTTAACAGGAAACGGTTATACCCATAACAGTTGATTTGTCTAAACAGTTACCTATAACCGTAAACGTTAGCTTTAAATGGTCGGGTAACCACGGTTATCCATACCTATGAGTATTTTGTCCATCACGAATGCCACTAAACCACACAAAAGGAGAATGAGAGCATTTTCAGCAGCTTTTTTAAAATGATATTCTTACCACTTATTTGTATCATCATTTGTATTTTTTATTTAATGAATATGAGATTCACATGTGTTGATAAGTTCTATTTTTATTAAAGAAATAATACAAATAATAGTAGAACCAGGTGATCAAGCCCAAATGTTTGAATTACGCATTAGATATATGCGTATGTTTATTATTTTATTTTATTTTTATGGAGGATATAGGGCTGGGTTCGGTTAAAAAACCGTGCCAAATTCCTTGTGCCACCTGCCAAC